AGTAATCCATGTGTTCCAGGGTATATTCCCCTGGAACAGACGTCTTCATAGTTCCAGGAGCTATTTAGGTCCCAGTCCCCTTTCTCTACAAGGGTGGTCAGGATCTGAAAACAGGCACTGGCCACTAAGGGAGGTGGTATGTAGGACTGTGTACAAGCCTCCCTTCTGTTATCTAGGAAAGTCTTAATTTCCTTTCATTTACAGTCCAAGTAAGGCTGCATTTTATATTTCCACAAAGTTGAACCTGATCACAGTTAATCAAATGGTCCGTGTCCCTGGCTGCCTGTGAAAATGGCTGGAAACTTTTCTTGACATGCCCTATGCATATGCAATAGTGAAATGTGTAGGACCTAGCAGCTAGGTTGGAAAACGCCTGACAAATTTCTTCCCCCCATTTCCAAGGAAGTAATAAGAGCAAGATAGAGACACAGAGACAAAGATAGTCAGACATAAGTGGACCTAAAATAATCCTGTGGGGATAGCCACAGGAAGGGGAGGGTGTTATGTTTTAAGCTTGTGTGCCTAAAAACGTTGCATGGAAGTTGTTTTAAGGTGGGTGGACAGACCTATTTTCTCTCTAGGCCCTTCCATGACCCACATATCCTAACACGGCAGGAGTCTTGTGGTGGCAAACACCCTGGTGTCTTATATATGCTTGACCCATGCCCACGTATGTTGCAGCAAGCAGGTCCGAAAGGTGACAGGCAAAGGGAGCAAAAGGGAGAGTAATGACAAGAAGTCAGGCAGTGGCTCTCAAGCACAAGTGAGATGAGAGGCTAAGACTTGCCAGGGAAAGGAGGAGGGATATTTGACCTCCAAATAATTCTCCTGGCTGGCTTACCACAGATGTTGCCAGAGGGTAGGTTCTTGTTTCCTCACAGAAAGAATTCAGAGACAAGTCACAAGAGGCCAAGTAAGCAAAGCAAGGATTTATTGAGAGATAGTAAACTCTCAGGAGGGAACACAGGCAGGCTCAGACAAGCTAAGGCTCAGCCACTTTGAAATGACTAATGGTAGGCCCTTTTTACCCTCAGATATTTTGGTGGACACCGAAACCAGTGAGGTCACTAAGTTCCTAATAAATCAGGATAAGTCCTAAAGGTGATTTCAGAGTCTGGAAATCAGGTTTTGCTGGCCCTAGCCAAGAAACTCACCCCATCTCTCTTGAAGTTCATATCCCGTCCCTAACGCAGCTTCCATGCTTGGATCTCACCCCTCACATTAGTATTTCTAACCAGTACCAAGTACTCATTCTCAGGTGCAATGAGTCTAGCCTGTCTCGCTGCCCCTTGCCCCTAGTGACCAGTGGAAGAGGGAGGGAAAACGCCAGTTGTCCGGCATTTACAATATGGCCCTCCTAAGGCCTAGAGAAAAGTCCCCACACCTCACGACCCCTCTTGTAACGGTGGCCTCTCTCCTCAAGCCGCGTGGGTACACCCTCTTGGGCAAACCACTTACAGGAATGGCTCAGCTCCTCAGAAGTGCACCAGGCATGCACTCCCCCAGACGCCTGTCCCTCTGCGGCCTGAACATAAACCAGCTGCCTTCTCAGAACAACCCCAGCTCTCCTTCCCCTCCCCAGGATTGGCTGTGGCCTTGCCTTGGATAGATAAGGCCCTGCTTGCGGGACAGTGCATGCTAGGCCAACTAAGTAATCAGATGAACCTAGGTGTATCCATCCATAATATCCGCCACTTCTGAAATAAGAGGCTGATGGGCCTCATCCTGGCAGGAACTGGAGCAGCTGTTGTTTGGTGGCCCCATGGGCGACTCTGCCTACCTTGAGGCAATGCTTTGTAACCTGCCAGATATTCTGTCTCCTCTGGCCAGGACCATGGGGGAACCCCCTTTATTTCCTAGCAAGTGTGGTGATGGATAATAGACTGGCCCTGGACTGTCTGCTAGCTGAACGGGGAGGGGTATGTGCAGTAATCAAAAAAATGTGCTGCACCTACATCAACACCACTGGCCAGGTGGAAGAAGATATGCAAAAGATACAGGAACAGGCCCAATGGCTACACACTTGTGGAAAGGGTGACCCCAGTGCCAGCTCCACATGGACTGCAGTCAGAGGGGTATTACCAAACATGACCTGGTTCCTACCCCTGCTTGGACCTCTGATTGCAATAATATTTTTGCTGATTTGGGGCCGCTGCCTTTTCATGAACTCCTGTTTGTTAAGTCTGTTTCTTCAGGTTACGACAGTGTCACCTACAGATGATGGTATGCCAGGGATTTCAACCCATCCTGCATGAAGATGGGGACCATCAACATCCACTGGACAGGGCTGCAGCCTCCTTCTACTCCCCACTCTCCATCTCTGCCGCTGTACATGACCCTGAGACCTCCTATCTCTGACAGAGAGCAAGGTGATCTGGACCCCACCGGTAGGGACAATGCCCCTGCTCAGCTTGAAGCAGCTATGGAAGACGGACCATCGACCCTTTGACCCTTAAAAGATTTTAAGGGTCCAGACTCCTCGAGGGGGGAACCGTTAGAGCAGGCAGTTAGCCAGACATGAGCAGAGGAGGGAGGCACAGGTCATGTGACAGGAGACCATAATACATCTTGCAATGACAGGGGTTCTAGGGGCAAACACAGGAAAGCGGGAAGCTCCGCGCTGACAGGAGACCATATATCTTGTGAAGACAAGGGTCCTAGAGGCAAACAAAGAAAGGCAGGAACCTGCTGGTCGGAATGTAACCTTTTGCTCGTCATGCCCTCATTACACTAGAATTAGCACTGCAACCAGAGCAGTACCCATCATGCACCGGCACCACGACAGATCCGAGCAAAGCCAAATAAGGACAGAAACTGCCCCTCCTCTCGGGAAGGTGGACCTGGGATGAAAACCAGGAAATTACCCCCCAAACCCCTCCCTCCTTGATGAATATTCCACCCAGTCATTTTCACACCCCGTGTGACCAGCTTGCCGAAAGGACTCACTGTTGCTCACCTGAGCCTGCCTGCGCTCCCTCCTGAGAGTGTACTGTCACTCAATAAGTCCTTTGCTTACTTGGCCTCTCAGTCTCAGCTCTGAATTCTTTCTACAAAAATACAAGAACCTACCCTCTGGCCGCATGAAGACAGCCACAGACAATTCATAAGCCAATCAGTATGGCTGTATTCCAGTAAAACTTCATTTATAAGAACAGACAGCCAGCTGGACTTGGTCCCTGAGCGGTACTTGGCTAAGCCCAGATTTAGATCTTGGCATCTCATTTCTCCTACATCTCAGCTTCACCTCCTAGATTATTTTAGTTGCTTTCTGAGGTTTTCTGCTCTATTGTGTCTTCCTGGGGCTCCGGTTTGTACATTGCAAACTTCACTGGATGATGTACCATAGTTTAAACAAGTGTAGGATAATGTCTGCTGCTAGGTTTCCCATCTGTGTCTAGGATTTGATTGATTTTTACAGAAATATAGTTGATTGTTTGCAGGAAATAACGTTCCAGTGACTGTTAGGTATCTTTGCATCTGTGTTGTAATCCATAGCATGGAGCCTCTCATCCTTAATATGTTTTGCATTATTTTATTACTATTATGTTTGACTCTGTTGAGGCCCGGCTTCCAATTCTCACCCCCTTGCATCTTTTGAATTTATCACTGTCAGCTGGCAGAGCTGAATGCAATCAGTGGATTTGGAGATGTTCCTAAGTGCCTTCTTTGCAAGGCACTTGTAAGAATAAGACCAATCTTAGCATTAGTTCCTCTGTACTTTCCTGTCTGCCTTTTTTTCCAGAACTGTACCCATTTAGTCAGACCCTTTGTTACTGCCTTTCTGAGCCACTTTTCTATTTCTTCTGAAACATTCCCCCAAATCTGTAGTGATTCAGTCTTTTAAATAACAGAGATTTAAGTGGATGTTACAGTTAATGTTTTTTTCCCAACGTATTCAACAGTGTGCTGGTGAAGAATTTCAAGACGAGTCATTTTACCCACTTGTACTGTACATGGGCTGTGGCATCTTTTAGTACCGACTCTACAGTTCTATGTGTAGTGAAAGCTGGGTGTGAAGAGTGAAGCTGGGAACAAATCTGCATTTCCTAGGGTGGGTCCATATTGGGTCTTGTCAACGCAGCGTCTCCACAGAGAGCTTGAAAATCTGTAAAAGTCCAAGTTGTGATCCCTGTGCAATCAGTTCTCCATGTTAAACATCACGACTTACCTGCCCTGCTATGTGCCTTTTACATAATAAATGTGTCAGATTCCTACTGTGATATGAACATATGGCCACAGTCTAGCTCTTGACAGGATTCTCACATTCATTGATTGGTGCAAAATGCTCATGTGAAAGGTGAAATCATGAAGTAAAGGTTGACTTAATTGCATTGGGTCCAATGGAAAGAGCACTTGTACCATAGTTGAGATCTCACCTCAAGTCATCTGCTAGGTGACCTCAAGCTGTTCACTTAACCTCTGTGCTTCCTTCTGCTTGCTTTGCAAGGTTGTTCTTATGTGGATAAAATGAGACAATTGAATTGAAGGGAGGTAAGAACATAAAGCTATACAAAGATGGTGATAGTCAGAATGCTGTTCCTGTATTCCTAAATGGGCATTACACCAGCTCTGCAGGTGAATGAAGTTGGGGTTCTGGCTGGACCCCTGGCCCTCTTAAAGGAAATTCTCTTCTTTGCCTTCTGTGCCTGCATTCACCCCCCTTAGACTGTCCTGGAAGTCAGCAGTCACCTCGATGCCCCCTGTCCCTTGTACATACATGATGTGATCATACCGCTAGACAGCCTAAGGGCTGGGTCATGGGCTTGCCTGCTCACATCTCCCCATCACCAAGGCTGCTTCTCAGAAGGGACGTCTGGCTTAGTTCCTAGATAATTGGCAAAAAGCGAAGGGACTTGTAAAAAGTAAGCCCTCTGCAGGGTCTGCTGCTCCATTTGACCTCGCTATTGGTCCAAATTGCACATACATGTTGGGTTTTTTTTTTAATGGACTGATGTAAGTGTCAAGGTGACGTTTGACACTTCACTGCTCTAACATTGCAGAAAGTAAAGTTATCAGATGAGCCCGTAGAAGCAAAAGAAGATTACACTAAGTTTAACACTAAAGATTTGAAGACTGTAAAGGTATGTGTCTGGATGCAGCAGCAAATACTCTTGAATCCTGTGGCTGTTGCTGCATGGTGACTTCGAGGAACGATTGCATGCTTGATTGTGATTTTATCATTTTAACCATGAAGAATTATTAACTTGCATTTCTGTGACTTAAGAATTAATTCAAAATTATGAATGGTGATGAAAGCGTCAAGCAAAGAAGACTTTTTACAGATAAAGAAAGGCTGTATACTTATTAGCAAGAGTGTGCCTAAACTTTGCAATATATTCAGAGTGATAGGATGGGGCAGAGGAAGGGGCTCCAAAGGTAATTTTTTGTCGACTCTACTGCCCAGTAGCTTCCCAGAAATTATGACAATGACAACAATTATTAACAACTCCATAATTCAGCAACCACCCCAGCAAGTATTTTCATAACATTTCTTACTGATTTATCCTATACATCATCATATGTATATATACACACACACATATAGTTTGGGGTTCTGCCTTTTTCATTTAGCTCTATATTGTGAAAATGTTCACGTCATTAAGCTTTCTTTGAAAAATTATTAATGGTTTCGTGATACTCAGTCATGTGTTATTTTATTTCACCACAGGGAATATAGTCTATTTAATCATTCTCCTATTTTTGGACACATAGGTTACTTCTGCTTTTTTGTTTTTGTTTTAATGAAGTGATAAACATTCTCATTTATAGTCTGCATCTCTGACTATTTCATTAGACACAATTTAAAACTAAGAGTAAAGGCTTAGAAAACATGAACTCTTTCCATGATTACTGATATACATATATATAGCTAAAACGCTTTCCAAAAATGTAGCAGAGATTTGTACTCCCAGCCATTATTGCTGATGAGTGTTCATCTCACATTCTTGACAACATCAAGTATTATTTTTATTCTTGAAAACTTTGCCTAAGTAGGCTACTTTAGGTAGAAAGGTTGTTTTTCCAAATGCTTATTGCCTATCTGCATTTTTACAAATTGTCAGTTCATGTTTCTTGCCTGTTTTCATATTGGGATAGTAATGTTTTTCTTGTTGATTTGTAAGAGCTCATTCTAAATTCAGGCTATTAACACTTTTCATGACATATAGGGTACAGATAATTTTCCAGTTTGTTTAGGCTTTTCGTTTGACTTTTGAACTATTTTAAATCTGAGGATTAAATATGGAAGTTTTTTATGATTTTCTCATTATTTTTATGCTTGGAAAGACCTTGCCTGCCCCAAGATAGGTTAACTTCCACCTAGATTTTAAGAACACTTACTCTCCTTAGATTTAATGTTTTCTAAAAATTGTATTCTTTAATTTACATGTAATTTATCAGGGCATGGGCTATCAGGGGATAATCCAACTTGAGATTTGGCTAAAATAGCTGGTTATCTCAGTGCTTTCTGTAAGCAGGGACATTTTCGAGTTTCTCTGTGAGGAGTATTTCTGCCCCACCCTTCTAAGTGCTGCTTCCCATTGTATCCACTTGGGCACCGCACCAGTGAGATAAGAGGTTGGACCAGGATGTCAGTTAATTGCAGGGGATGGAGGATAACTTGTCTCAGAGACTGTCACTTTTCCCCATCCAGCCAAAATATAAGCCTACTAAATTATAAGTGACAGAATGTAAAAAGCAAATTTTTAGGGATCATATATTGACTGTGCCCTTAAAAGATACCTTGGCAATGGCTCTGTCTCACAGTTCCCAGGGAGACATGATTTTTTCTTTGCTGATTCCCATCATTTTTGCTTTTGCTGAACACTGAAGTAAAATCAGCTGCTATTTCCCTTCTGCCAGTGCTTGTTATAGGCCATGGCAAAACAAAACAAAACAAAAACAGTGACCAGGAAGAGATAGAATTTTAAAAGGCAGAGTTATTTGGAGTCAGCTTTTTAGAAAGTATTTTTTTGTTGGAGGAAAAATGGGACAGCTATCCTGCTGGTCCTGGATGCTTTGCAATACAGGTTATCTTTTGAATATAATAGCTTTGTCCTTGGTTTCCCATAGAGCCTATGAATAAAATCAGATGGTAGATTGTTGTGAATTATTCATCATTTGGTAATACAAGGCTGTAATTCCTCCCTCTGACAATTGCTGCCTGTGTCAGTTCCATTGTTTGTGTTATTTCACTTAATACACCCTCCAGAATTATTTCCCCCAAAGTAAACCGTTGGTTGTAACATTCCACTCCTTAGAAGGCGGCAGTTTTGTCTCCTGCCTCTTTTAACATATTTTGTCTCTTAGATCTGAATTCTGAATAGAAATCAGAACTTTTAAAAAGAATCACTCCTTTATGAAGCATGTCAGCAGCAAATGCTTACCTCCCTTAACGAACCTTGAGACATGCATGGTCTTGTTTGATTTGCATGTATGATTTATAAATGTTACATTCATAACAGTTTTTCTCTCTTATTTTCAATAACAGAAAAATAGCAAAATGACTGCAGCTCAGAAGGCTTTGGCTAAAGTTGACAAGAGTGGAATGAAAAGTATTGATTCCTTTTTTGGTGCAAAATATGTTAAAAAAATTGGAAAGATTTGAAACTTTGAAAATTAAATCAAGCAAAAATATTTGCCTTCTGCATGTCCCATTTTCATCCTTCCTCTATTCCACTGTACTTCCTAACCCTTAATTACCACCTTTTGAAAAAAAGTAGGAAGGGGGCAATTTTCAGATTCACTTGAACATTTCTTTGTGTTTGATTTTTGTGTTTCCTGAACAAAATATGGGAAAGTAATTGTGTAACTTCATGGCTTGTGGCCTTTGGAGTTTTGTTTGACATCATGAAAAGTAATCAAGTGAATAGAATTAACCTCTAGCATCACAGTTTCCTCAATAAACTGATGTGTGACAATATTTGAGTGTATGCCTGTTATTTTATGCAACGTTGCGCATGGTAGCTATAGCAATATGGTTTTCAATATACTCAGAGAAATGTAACACAACTATCAGATAAACTACTACTTTTTAAAAGCCTTTAGTTTTGGGTAAATCTTTTGTTTAATGTATTTTCTGTTTTATGAATACATGTTCTTTGCAGAAAATAGAGAAAAGTGTAAAACAAAAATTATAATCTCCTGACTTTTCATTACCTGGAGATAATATGGTGCATTTTCTTCTATAATAATTTTTAAAGGAGTTATATTAGTAATTTTATAAACTTTTTTCTTGACATCATTTTGTGAGCATTTTCCCAGGCTACTCTTCTTCATAAATATACTTTTTTAATGACAGTAATTTTTAATTATTTGAGTGTTTGATTATTTAATGATCATAGTCCTATTCTGGACATTTGTATTATTTTTAAACATTTGCTATTGGAAGAATCAGATTCTATGTAAATATTTGTCCATATCTTTTATTGTTTTCTTAGAATGGATTTTTAGATGTGGGCTTACTGATTCATAACTTTTTCAAATATATACTTTTGGGAATATATTTCACAGAAAGGTTATAGTATCTTGCACTCTAACAAATGATGGTATGAATCCTTATCTTATTAGCTTTGAATAGTGTCTTTGCAAATAAGTGGAAAAAAGGCATGTTGGTGTGGTTTTAATTCACATTTTCCTGATTAATAATGTCGACTGAAAAAAAACACCACACAACCTGAAAGTTGAGAGTTATGTTTCATTCGGGGAACTTACAGAGGACTATAGCCTGGGAGGCAGCCTCTCATATAGTTCTGAGGAACTGTTACGAAGAGGTAAGAGAGAAGCCAGGATATGTAGGAATTTTTGTTGGAAAAAAAAAACATGCAGTCAAACATCAAAAGATTACTGCTAATCATACACACACAAAAAAACCCCCAGACATCTCAAGTTAATGAGTTTAGTGCTTTTCTGGGTATGGGAAGATGCAAGAGTCTGGGCTCATTGAAATTACTCCTTTGATATGCATCTGAACTGTCTAGGGCCAGTATTCTGTTGTTCTCCATCCTGAATTCCCCTCAGGGCGCACGCACCAAGGTGGGGGGCGGGTGAGGGGAAGCTCTGCAGAGGCTGATGGCTTGATGGTGGGCAGCATTTGTTGTTTTCTGAAATGGCAGGCAACATTTTTTTATCCACAGTAATAATATTGTTCATTTTTTCACATTTATCTATCATTTGCCATCTTACAGAGAATTATCTGTTTATGCCCTTTGTTAAATTATTGGAGTATCAGTATTTTTCTTACTAATTCTAAAAAGTATTTTATAACTTAAAGACATTCATTTTTGTCCACTGTGTTCATTGTAATTTTTTTCCCTTGGTTTGTAATTATTTTCTCACCTATTTATTTTTTCCATTAGATTTGTAGGATCATTTTAACAGGTTCTAAGAGTAAATTCTAATGGGTTTTACTGAGATTTTGAAAGACCCATAAATTATTTTGAGAAAAACACATCTTTACAAAAGTCAGTGTCCTTATTCAGGAACATGGTATTTGTCTATATTTACTAAAATCCTAATCATACCTTTCACTAACATTTGGTTCTTCATCTTCATGTAGGTTCTAGATACTTCTTTTTAGGAGTATCTCTAGGTATTCTTGTTGCTATTAATGAAATCTTTTTTTTTTTTTTCAGTTATATCTCCTAACTGGCTATTTTGTGGTAAAGTATTACATTTTTATATATTTATCCTTTAAATAACTAATTTACTAAACTATTAATCTAAATTTTAAAATTTTATTCATATTGGGTTTTCAATGCATAATAAGGTATATAATCTTACTTCGAAAAATTTGTGTGCAGTTCTTTCTGATAGTTATAGCTCTTTTATATCTTTTATATCATATTACATGGGTAAGACTATCTAGAACAGTATTGAAGAATAATATGTAATAGTAGTTATCTTTGCCTAATTTGTGATTTTATTAATGTGCGTTACCATCAGTTCTGACACTAGCTATTGTTAATGTGATAAAGAATATCTATCTTTGGTATTTCCTTTTATACTTAGTTTCCTTAAAGTTTTAATTAGTAATTGGTATTGGTTGTTATCAAATATCTTTTTGGCATCTCTTGTGCTGGTTGTAGAGTTTTTATCACAATTAAACTGTGCTTGAGTTCCTACACTAAACTCTACCTGGCAGTAGATAAAGGATAGCATCATGGATGCTCCCTGTCTGGTTTAACCATTGTCAAATCTAGTTCTCAATTAGGTTTTCTAGGCTTTTATTTAGAATGTTAGCATCTATATTCGGAAGCAATATTGCTGTTAGGTCTTAGTGTTAGAATTCAGCTGGCTTTCAATCTTTCCCGATATTCTGGAAGGAATAATTTTGCATAAGAACATTCTATTTCTGGAAAATTTTAAAGAACATCCGTGGTAAAACTGTTTGGCACTGAGCCTTCTTTTGTCTTCTTTAATCTGGAAAAATTTCTCACCTATTCCTTGTATACACAGGCAGGTTATTTAGTCGAATGTTCCTCACTTTGAGTTTGCCTAATGTATCCTCTTGATTAGATCCAAGTTTTACCTTTTGGGCACCCACAGAAGTAATGCTGTGTCTTTCTTAGTGCACCATGTCAAGAGTCACATGACCCAGTACTAGGGATGTTAACTTTGATTGCTTGATTAAGGTGGTGTCCACCAGGTTTATCCACTGTAGAGTTATTATTTTTCTCTTGGTAATTAATAAGTGATTTGTGGGCAAATACTCTGGCACTTTTAAGTATCCTATTCCTCATTCAACATTCACTCACAAGTTTTAAAATAAAACTGATGTTTTTTCCAACTCCATCATTTCTTTTATATTTATTTATTTTACATTTATTTTTATTTATTTTGGCATTTGTCTAGAAGGAAGGGCTTTCCCTTCTCTACTTATTTATTCATTTATGAGCTTATATCATCATGCACTTGAAGGTTGTTTTAGCCAGTGACTTAAATTACATTATTCTGTTCCTCATATTGTCCCAGAAGGGCCAGTAGGAGTCCCTTCAAGCTGCCTACTGTATCTTTTTGTTATGTTTCATTCATTTTTAAATACTTCATTACTTCTTCTGCAAGAGGGTATTCCAGACTCTTCATGTATTTTCCCTGTCCAAGCCCTGGAATCAGCCTTTTTCCCAAGGAGCCAGGGTTCCTTTTAGAGGAGAATGGTATTTAGAAACCAAGATCCAGGCAAGAGGTGTGCTTGCTGCTACTATCCATCTATGTGTGTGGTTTTTGTAGATTTCCTTTATCAGGCTGAGGAAGTTCTTTTCAGTGAGAGTTTTAATCATGAATGGATATTGAATTTTGTCAAATAAGTTTTCTTCATCTATTGAGAGGATCATGCAGTTTTCCTTTAGTAAAGGAATATATTTTAATATGTGAAGTATAATGATCGATTTTTGAATGTTGAACTTTACATTCCTGGGATAAACTCACTTGGTCTTTTCATATATAGTATTGTGTTTTATTTCCTAATATTTTATTAACGATTTTTTAAATCTCTGTTCATGAGGGATATTGGTCTGTAGTTTTCCTTATTTGTAATGATTTTGTCTAGTTTTGGTATCAGAGTAAAGCTGACTTTATTAAATGAGTTGGGAAATAGTCTGTCATCACCCATTTTCTGAAAGCGTTTTTGTGAGATTAGTATTGTTTTTCCTTTTTATGTTGGACAGAATTCACTAGTGAAGCCATTTGGGCCTGGAATTTTTTTTTTCTGGGAAATTTTTTAGTTACTAGTTCAATTTCTATAATAGATGTAAAGCTATTCTAACTTTCTTTTCTTATGCCAGTTTTAGTAATTTATGTCTTTCAAGAAATTATCTTTCATCTAGTTGTCAAATTTATTGGTGTAACTTGTTTCTTATATTTTTATTATCCTTTTTATGTCTGTGAATCTGTAGTGATATTCCTTCTTTCATACCTGATTTGGTTATTTGTGTCTCTTCTTTGTTTTCTTGATTATTTTCATCAAATTTGGAAAATTTCTGGCCAGTATTTCTATAAATTTTCTGTTCTTCACCCACCCACCCCCTTTTCTCTTCACCCTCTTGGCTTCTGGGACTCCAGTTACATGTATGCTAGACTACTTGATGTCCCACAGGTCCTTTAACTTCTGTTCTTCTTTATTTTCAATTTTACTTTGTCTTGTAGTGTTTTATTTTCTATAACCTCAGTGAATTTTTATTTCATATATTGGAATTTTCAGCTCTAGATGTTCCATTTGGCTCTTTTTTATATCTTCGCATTTCTCTCCTCATTGTGTTCTCCTTCAAGTAGTCCGTTAACAACAGCTGCTTAAATGTTCTTGTCTGCTAGTTCCAACATCTCTGACATTTCTGTGTCAATTTCTTTCTTTTCTTTTGTCTTTACTTTTTTATTTTGAAATAACTTTAGACTTATAGAAAAGTTGCAAAAACAGTAGAGAGTATACACATACCCTTCACTCAGCTTCCTCTAACCTTAACACCTTATATAACCAGTACAATTATCAAAACCAGGGACTTTACAATAACACAATATTATTAACTAATCTACCCCCTTGTTTTGAGTTTCACCTATTTTTACACTAATGTTTTTCCATTCCAGGGTCCAGTCCATCCTTCCACATTGCATTTAGTTAAGTATATCTCCTCTTTTTTGTAATGTGTCTCTCAGTCTTTATCTTTCCATGACCTTGACACCTTGAGGGTACTGGTCAGTCATTTTGTGAAACGCCCCTCCATTTTTGAGATACCTTGAAATTGTGCTAATATCCTGTTTCTCATGTGATCATTTCATAATACTAATAACTAATGATACTAATAACAACAAATACTGTCTAGCATTTATGTGCTTGGCACTGTTCTGAGCACTTTACATATAATAATTCATTTAATCCCCACAGCAGCTGTAGTTGTAAGGCAGGGTGCCATAGGAGCCAGGAGAGTGAC